AAAAAAAAAAAAAAAAAAAAAAAAAAAAAAACCCACATCTGGAGATTTAAAGCTACCCTGAAACTGCATCCACTTTTCTTTCCTTAAGTTCCGCACAAGCATATGTGGCAAGTAATACAGATATTTTGGGATCTGACCGTGGCAGTGTGTCTGCACAACCAGTTCCCTGCCCTCCTACGAGAACAGATAATGACTCTTTCCCTTGGCTTCAAACACATGCCCGTTTGTGATACTAAACCAAATTCTCCCTCAAGTTGCGGAGTTCCAGACCTACTAGAAAAATGAATAGGCATCTGTACTACCTCTGTGTTTCCTCATGAACTTGCGTGGAAACACAGAGACAGTACAGCCCTCAGAGCCTTCTCGATCAGCACCTCCCTGCTTTGAACAGACATGAGAGTTCGGGGTTTGGGTCCACGCAAGCCTAGCTCAGGGACTCAGGGACTCTAAATGGTCTCCCCTGAACACACAAGATGGAGGCGTGCCACCAGGCAGTGTTTGCCTGAATCTCCACAATCTCCTGCAAAGGAGGACGAGAGCCTCCGTGGGGAGGTATCTGGCTTGGGGGGGCAAAGGGACACAGAAAGGGTACCTTCTGAGACCTCCAGTTGCGGCAGGCATCGGGTCTGCGTACGGCCTGCCCTCCTCTGGAAGAAGGATAAAACACGGCCTAGAAACCTTAACATGGTCCCGTCGTCACCACCGGCGTGGGCACCTCGTGTGTCAGATGAAGCACAGGCCTTTCCTGTGGGGAAACCTTAAGGTCACAGTGGCCCCTCAGGAACTCGCCTCCTGCGTCTCTTCCCCAAACTGTGGGATGAGACCCAATGGCCAGTGAGCAGCCTCACGAGCGCAAATGACGTCGCCGACGTGGCGTCTCCCAGATGCCCCACTCACTTCCGCTTATAAGCACAGGCTTGTGCAGGCCCCGCCCCCTCCACCCAGCCAATAAGTGTGCAGTGGGCAATCACGTGAGCTACGGTGGTCAATAGGAGGTAGTTGATGGAGATGTCATGGCTCCTCCCATCAAGGCTCAGAACCTTCTAGAAAGGCCTCGTGAAAATGGCTTGAGGGATGGGATTCTGCGCATGCTCAGGGGTTCCACGGCCATGCGGACTGTACAAACAAAACATTCAGCAGACAGTCATTAGTTACTCCGCCCGGGGATCAATTTTGTGTATGGAAGAGGGAGGTTCCTGGGAGTACGTGATGTTTTAGTGATGGCAAGTGCATGTCTTTTGTATTGACTCCCTTTTTGAGCTCAGTGGTGATTTACCATAGAATTCTTTGATAATCGTCACTACCACTTATTCATTGCTTACTTATTTTTGCCAGTTATTCTGCTATACATATTACATTTATTCATTCATTTACTAAATATTTTTGGTATTAGCTATGAGCCAGACACTTTTCTGGACATTTGTAATTAGTGAATGAAAGAGTCAAGAATCTTGACCCTGTAGGCTCGGCGCCTATAGCTCAACCGGCTAAGGCGCCAGCCACGTACACCTAAGGTGGCGGGTTCGAATCCCCAGCCCGGACCTGCCAAACAACAATGACGGCTGCAACCAAAAAATAGCCGGGCGTTGTGGCGGGCGCCTGTGGTCCCAGCTACTTGGGAAGCGGAGGCAGGAGACTCGCTTGAGCCCAGGAGTTGGAGGTTGCTGTGAGCTGTAAAGCCACGGCACTCTACCCAGGGGGACAGCTTGAGGCTCTGTCTCAAAAAAAAAAAAAAAAAAAGAATCTTGACCCTGTAAAGGTAATTTTTTCACAACAGGAGGAAAAAGGAGGCAATAAACATAACATATAATAAAATACATAATGTGCTGGAAGGTAATAAACGCTATGGAGAAGTACAGCAGGGAAAGGGAGTGGATTGCATTTTTGAATAGGAAGGTCAGAGTAGGCCTTATTGGGAAATAATAGTTGAAAAAATCTAGAAGGAGATATTGGAGTTAACCAGGCTGCTTTTTGTGGAGAAGCCATCCAGAAACATGGAACACCCTGCACAGATTGTAAAGCAAGAGTGTGGCCAATGTGCTTAAAGAAAAGCGAAATGATTAGAGCAGAAGTGAGAGAGAGAATAGTAGGAAATGGTCACAGAGATAATAAGAATTCAGGCTGTGTGGGACCTTATAGGGCACTGTAACTTCTTTGGCTTTTATTGTACATGATGTATGAAGTCCCCTGAAGGGTTTGGAGCCTTCATGGGATCTCTCTAGCTGCTCGGCTGCACACAGATGTAGGGGGCCACAGCATGAAGCAGGGACACCAGTTAGGAGGGTCTGTGGTAATCCATGGGCACTGTGGTTGACACCTATATATCCTCTCCATCCTGCAATGAGAACAGGAAAGAGAGATACAAAAGACAATTATCTGGTTGAGGATATGGGTAGGGCAGGATCCAAACCAAGTAGGAGTAGTGCTGGGGCATCAAGGGGATGGCCACAAGGAGAAGGACAGGATTGTCCACTGCAGGGGACTGAAAGTGTTCACTGGGCTTAGGAAATCATCAGGCATTGTGGGAATGGATTGGGGCAGCAGTAAGTCATGAAGGCATTATAGAGAGTGTGGTCTGCCCTTTCAACAAGTATCAGCGTGAAAAACATTAGAAGGGGCAAGGATGATAATGGCAAGGCTCTTCTTTGTGGTGTTAGTGATAGCTAAGACTTATAGAGGGTATACTCTGTGATGGCCATTGTTCAGAGTCCATTGTGTGTGACAACTGATTCTATCCTCAAAGCTTTGCAAGACAGGGATTATTGGCTGGGCACAGTGGCTCTTGCTTGTAATCCTAGCACTCTTGGAGGCCAAGGTGGGTGGATCCCTTGAGCCAAGGAGTTCGAGATCAGCCTGAGCAAGAGCGGGACCCATGTCTACTAAAAATAGAAAAATTAGCCGGGCATGATGGTAGGCACCTGTAGTCCAAGCTACTTGGGAGACAGAGGCAGGAGGATAGCTTGAACCCAAGTGTTTGAGGCTGCTGTGAGCTATGATGGCGCCACAGCACTCTACCCAGGGTGACAGAGTGAGACTCTGTCTCAAAACAAACAAACAAAACAAAACAAAAAGACAAGGGATTATTATTGCCAATTTTTAGCTGAAGGACCTGAAGGAAAAAGAAGTTGAACAACTTCCTGAGGGTCCCACGCCAAGGAGAAATGGGAGTTGAATCCAAGCATCCTGGTTCTGTCATTGGTGCCTGTAAGCATAGTGTCACACTTAGCAACCTGACACTGGTTACCTGCTGAATGAAGGATACACGTGATCATACTCTTTCCTCTCTTCACTCAAAAAACATTCCCCAGTGAGAAATAAACACCCCAGAGAGAGGAGTTGGTTGACTGATTAGGGTTAAGCTAATGTGCATGTGTGTGAGCGCGTGTGCATGTGCATCTGCAGTGGCCAGCTTCTTTTCCTGTCCTTCAGCTACTTGTGCGATGTAATTCTCTTTGCCTTTCTCTCCAAATATTGGAGCAGCAATTTGCCTGGTGACAACAATTCTCTAAAGATCCTGTAAAAAGTCATTGATTTTCAGTTTGTTCATCTTTTTTCTCTTCATGAGGATAAGAGTGATGGCTTTCAATCTGCTCACGTGTTGGATAACACATTTGGTGTGTTTATATAGGATGATGCTCTGCTTTTTAGGAAATACATGCTGAAAACTTGGGGGTTAAAGGGTTATGGAAGTCGGAATATGTCTTTGAAAAGGTTCATCACACTCTTTAATGTTAGGATACAGCAAGAAGGCACCATCCCTGAACCACAGAGCAGGTCCTCCAGATACTGAATCTGCCAGTACCTTGATCTTGGCCTTTTAGCCTCCAGAAGTATTTAAACAATCAAGTAAAATCAAGCTGGATAATTGTGGTAGAAGATGGATTCGACCCCTGTGAATGTGTTTGCTCCAGTGAACATGCAATGAGAAGGCTGATCAGTCTGTTTCGGCAGGCCCTGTCCTACTGTACAGACACAGTGCCTTTAGGAATTACCAAGCCCCTCTGGTGATGATGGCATCAGTGCTACTAAGATTGTGATGCCCTGGATGATTATTGCAGTGATCTTACTCTTACTAAGGCCTCCTAATCTACGAGGATCCAGCCCATCAAGAAAGCCAACCAGGGCTAATAATGGGCAAGACCCACCAGCTCCTCCTGAGAACTAACTTTGTGATATTGGAACTGAAAATAATTAATACTTTGCAAGACCAAACAAACAAAGATGACAAGGGTACTCTTAACCCCATTACAACTGTTTTTTCCTTTTGCATCTGCAATATGGGATAGTCTTGTTGTCACAAGCTTCTAGAAATTCAACTTGCAAGCTTATTTTTGCTTCCTGTGTTATAACCATTCCTATTTACAGTATATTTGAGTAAATGATTATATTTTACATGGGGCTTGGGTGGTGCCTGTGGCTCAAGGAGTAGGGCGCTGGCCCCATATGCCAGAGGTGGTGGGTTCAAACCCAGCCCTGGCCAAAAACTGCAAAATTAATTAATTAATTAAAAAATAATTTAAAAAGTTACATGGGGCTTTTTTGGTTATCCTAAACTTAAACATTCCACTCATTCTGTTTGTAACTGTGCTTATAATTTTTTCTTTTTTTTTTTGCAGTTTTTGGCCAGGGCCGGGTTTGAGCCCACCACCTCCGGTATATGGGGCTGGCACCCTACTCCTTTGTGTCATAGGTGCCGCCTGCTCATAATTTTTTTTTTGTAATGATTTCTGGCCTGATTGAAGGACATTTGAGAGCTCTGCATTTAAATATTTAAATGGTTTTGATAGGTTTTAAAATTGCTTTTTAAAATAAGGTGTTTATAAAGTTATTTGGAGTTATCTGAGATTGTATGAAAGAAAATTAGAACCACACTACACTTACCTTTACTTTGGAGTTTCTTTGTGGATGGCAGTTTTCTTGGGACTGTGGTAGCTCTTAGAATATTTTACAAATTTACAGTTAAAATCTGTATCATCTATGATAACTGGCCCATGTGGCGAGAATAGGTGGAAAGAAGAAATGAAATGGCTGTTTACCAATTTTTCTACTTCTATTAAAAATGACTAATGAAATGAAAAACTTGGAATAAACATGATTGGTCAATATGGTGGATGATTTACAGCCCATTATCTGTCAACTGTAAGCCACTGTGCACTAGGCTAACACGGTTTATGAGAGGAGGAAAAATTAATTCTTTCTGCCTTTGTCCAGTATAATCTATACAGTAATAATTTAAGCTATAATTTATTTTTAAAATGAGTGCCTCTTGGGAATCTTCTTTTCTGCTCTAACACTTCCCTGTCTTAAGGCTATCTCAGGGCCTGTTAGGTTACTGACATTTGGATGCCTGTTTACTTCGTTTTTTTTATTTGAAGAAAAACTTGGAGGCTTTTGTTATGCTTCTGACTTATAAAAATTTTTAGTAAAGTCTCCGTTTATTCCAAGGGAAAATGAGGAATATGTGGAACAATCAAGGATCTTTTTCTCACCCCTTATCTCATTCCTGTTTGGTATGGGATGGATTGGGATAGGAAGGAACATTAATGTAAGTGACATTTTCAAATGTATAAAAAAGTTAAAAGTTGCACTGTTTTGCTCATTTTGAAAAAAGTGATGGTGTGGTCCCACCTTATGGGCACAATGTAAGGGTATATGACACACCTCCTGGGTGCGGGACACAACTACA